TTCAGACTACCTCAACATGATTCACAAATACCCGAAGGTGACTTCTAGATGCACCTTCGCACACACCTGCCTTTTCTCTCCTGATCTCTAAGCCTTTGAGGGGAAAAAGGAGTTTCTCTTTGTTTTACATTCTGTTTCCTAATCTCCAAGTGACTTGGCCTGGAAAAATCTTTGTCTCCCACTCCGAAGGCCACTCTGGTCTATTCTCATGGGAATTGATATCACTCATTTCTCCCATTGCCTGGGAAAGGCCTTGAGATTCCAAAACATCTCTCTCCAGGTCTCTGCTTCCACAGACTCCTTGGAAACTACAGGCTGCAACCCATCATCCCCTTTCTCATCCTGAGCACTGAAGATGCTTGCCGATGCTTGCCAGGCTACAACAGGTGGCACTGTGGCTTTGACACTCCCTCCTGAAAGAAGTTAGAATGGCCCCCTCCGTTTTCATTTCAGAATCAAGTTAAAACCTTCCTTTGGGAGCAGGCTTTCCCTGAAGAAGAACAGTAAGGAGATAAGCTACCAGCAAAGTTTTTGCAGTTTAATAAAATTTTCCCATGTTTTTGTGGTAGTACCAATTAGGAAATGGTATTTATAATGGATGGATGGCATCCTTGAAGTGACTGGACTGACCTTGAAGGAGCTGGGGTTGGTGACGGCCGACAGGGAGCTCTGGCGTGGGCTGGTCCATGGGGTCACAAAGAGTCGGAGACGACTGAACGAATGAACAACAACCCAGGTACAAAAATTGTGTTACATAGTATAGTGAGAGAAATACAGTGTAGCAATGGGAGAGTCACAATGTTTTGTGAAAAGGAAAGATCAAACACAGAACTAACCCAAAGCAATTGTGCAACAAACATACTGTGTGATAAATTTATTTATTTATTTATTTATTTATTACTTGCACTTATTTACCGCCACTCTCAGCCCAGGGGGCGACTCGTGGCGGTGAACAACAACATAGAAAAGACAGTTTACAGTCATCAGAACAATACAACACATGCTACTACTACTAAACATATACTTATACTAAAAATCCGCTTCGTCGTATCATGGGTCATAGTCAGTCTCATAGTCGTAATCCATTCCGGTCGTCATTGCCAAGGATAGTAATCAATTGAAGGCCAGCTCGAAGAGCCACGTTTTCAGGCTCCTACGAAAGGCTATAAGGGAGGGCGCCTGTCTAACTTCGGCAGGGAGGGCGTTCCACAGCCGGGGTGCCACCACCGAGAAGGCCCGCTCTCTCGTCCCCGCCAGGCGTGCCTGTGAGGCAGACGGGACCGAGAGAAGGGCCTCCCCGGATGATCTCAAGGTCCTCGTGGGCTCGTAGGCCAAGATGCGGTCTGCAAGGTATTTTGGGCCGGAACCGTTTAGGGCTTTGTAGGATAGTACCAGCACCTTAAATTGGGCCCGGTAGCAGATCGGCAGCCAGTGGAGCTGGGACAGTAGGGGCGTTGTGTGCTCCCTACGCCCTGCTCCTGTTAACAGTCCACAGTCAGTGTTTCCTAGACAGACAATACTGCAATATTGGAAAAGTTTTGAAACAAGTTCTCTAATACCATCATTCCCAAACTAGGCACTAGGGCAAGCCAGGTTTGGGCTTGTGGAATTTTATTTTTAACTCATATCTGTGATAAACCTATAAAAGTTAAGCACATAAGAGTGATCTGGAAATAGATCCAATTTCGTCCCACATACCACAAGTCAGGGGTTAAGTCCTTTATGTAGCACAAATTCATCTTGAATTATTACAAATCAGAGATTTCAACACAAAGCTCTCAAACCGTCCAGCTGAGCTACACAAAGATCTGATCAGAGGCAACCAATTAAGTATCCTGTTTTTGAAATGAAGAGCACTAGAGCCAAGAGAAGCAATTAGCACAAGATTGGTCAAGGAAGAGCATTTGTTTTTCAATGCAATATTCTCAAACAACTGGAAGTCAGAAGGGCATGGTTTGAAAGCAGATGAAGCAGACAATTTAATGAAGCTAAGCAGCAATGCTTGGTTGCGAAACTGCCTGGATACCCTATACATGCTGCCAATTTAAATCCTAATGACCTCAGAGCTACCTTTTACTTGTTCCTGGACGAAAGCAAGGGATTCTGAAATTAAAGCCTGCTGGAGAATATGGGCATGCCTTTTTAAGTCAGCGTTCTCTGAAGATAATTCCTTTATATTTCCTCTGGGTTGAGGTTTCTGGGAGCTGTCATTCAAAAAGTGACTTTTCCAAATTATACATGAAGAACAATTAAGTCATGCCTGTAATAGAGATGAAACTGTTGCCTGCATATGAATCTCTGATCTAAATAACCAAGCATCCTTCCAACCTTTCTGGGTACAAAGTGTGCCTTCAGTTTTAATTCTGAAAAATAGGCTACAACTAAAATGCAGGAGATTTATGATAAGGATTTCCTGCATTTTTTTTTTCAGAACAGTCCCCATTATGTAAGATCTCAGGACCACAGTGGAAGGGTTATTAATTATCATCATTATCATCATCATCTTTATTTTTATACCCCTCCTTCATCTTCCCAAAGGGACTCGGGGTGACTTACAAAGGGACAAGCCTGAAAAACACAGAATTAAAACATAGCACAATAAAATAAAATAAAATAAAATCAACAACACAAGATAAAATTAACACATCACAATAACAAAACATAACATCATAAAACAATCTCATGGCTGAACAGTAATAAATGCTGAGTTTGGAGGGCTCAGAGTTTGTGCAGTAGTTTCTGGATAGGGCTAAGGGAAAGTGCAAAATTCAATACAGGTAGGGCTTGGAAAGTGATGTCTTTTGGCAATTAAAATGTCAGGATTATAGGGCCTTCCGCTGTACTAAAGTGCAGGAACTTTGGTAAGTTTAGGCCAATTATTTAGTGAATTGCTTAGTCAAAGGCACAGTGAAACATCCACATTTTTAGGTCCTTGTGAAAGATGGGCAGAGCAGGTGCCTGTCTAATCTCCCTGGGCAGAGAGTTCAAAAGCCGGGGGGGGGGGGGCACCACCAAGAAGGCCCTCTCCCTCGTTCCCACCAAACTGAAGCTTAATCCAGACAAGATGACAGTACTATAGGTACTGTCATCCAGATTGATCTGGGAATAGGGTGACAACTTGAGTTGGATGAGGTTACATGCCCCCTGAAACCCCAAGTTTGCAGCCTGGGGGTTTGCAGCCCTCTTTGTTTAGAAGGAACCTTCCTTGCTCAAATAATGTGTTTAAAGCCCTACCAGAGAACTGTATTAAGCATGCTAGTAAACCTCTATAGTACTAACATAGGTTGGGGCCTAAATTCTATTGCCAATGTTCAAAACATGGTCAAAACTCACTGAAATCAATCAAGTCAAATTACAGGTACAAACACACTGAAAGCAAGTAACGTAAAATAGAAAACAAATAAAAAGTTGCTTGTCTTCCATTTAGAGTTTGATGAGATTTAACATAAAATAAGCTGAAAATAGAAGACCGTAATTATTTTCTATTACTTTTAAAAAAATATGACACAGAACAGATTGGCCCTCAAGCTGGGAGTAATTTAAAAGCATATGGTTATATTTACTTTCCCCTGAAATTGTATTAACTGTGTAAAGAAGGATTAAAGTTAAAATATCACTATAGCTTTTAGAAACAATGGTTTAGAACAGTTCTGGGGAATATTCCTGTTTCCAACAACAACATTCAAGTCAAAGCAAATCTGAGCAATTTTGTCTATAGAGGATCTTGCAAATTCATCAGAGAATGCTTTTGAGTGGTCTTCATTTTTTTCTTTGAGCCAGAGTATAAAACGTCCCTGACTACTCAAGACCACTCTGCCAGATGACACTATACAGATGCCATAGTATAATTTCTTCACTGCCCAATTGTCTCAGCACAGGCTTCCAATCAGCTCTACCTATTGCTTGATTGGACTAGCTCTGAGTCTTCTGCCATTGTCACTAAATCTCCATCCAATTTGTTTCATCACTTCCAGATTTGGTGCTAACTTGGCTCCACTGTGATGAGATGGGGTGTTTAGAAACAATCATATCCACCACTCTTGTCATGTCTCTATTACAGAGATCATATGAAGCTCTGACAGAATCACTTGCCAAGGTAACTGGAAGTTGCCCAAGAGCCATCAGGAATCCATCCAGATGTCCACATTTCTTGACATGGACCATCTTACTCTACAGCGGTTCCAAGTTTCAGAGTCTAAATGCCACTAAATATAAAAATATAGAACATTCTTCCACTTCCAGATCACCATCATCCTGCTCAAAACAGAAAACTACATTCAGAGTATATATCCTTCAGCACGGGTGCCACCAGATATTACTTGGAATAGTCCCATGTTTATCACGGCAGACCTGAAGTCCTGAAGTGCTTCTGACAAAGCAGTCTCCATATGTTGAAACCCCCCAGTGCAACGACCCGAGAGGATTCCAACAGTGACATCAAGATCAGCTCAGTCAGTTGATGAAGGGGGACTGTGAGAAGCAGGGTAGGGAGAACATCAGCAGAATTCTGTCACAGCCACCCAACTCCAAAAACCACATTTTAACCCATCAAGACTGTGGAACAGAGCAGCTGAGAGAGAATGAATCCAAACAGACAACTACCATTCTGCTTCCCTGCCCCCCAGGCCACACCTGCTGTTGTACAGAGAACCCAAGTGGACAAAGCTGAGAAAAGTTGACCCCCCCCCCCCAACTCAATTTCATCAAATCAGATCTCCATAATACAGGTCAGGTTGGCATGTTCATCCAGAATAAAGTCATTTTCCATTCACTGACTTGGTATTGGGTAGCAGACTATTTGAAGTGGGGGAAAGCTTGTGGGTAACCCAATATACTGTGGCTCTCCTACTACCATAACAGCAGTCTTCCTTCACTTGATCTCACTCTGTCTATCACTCTAATGACACTCTCTGAACTGCTAGTTTAACATGTCATTACTAGTCAGGAATGCAACTAAATCAAAATTATTTCTAATATTTTAGAAATCGAGTAGTAATTACCAATGTTTTCCATACAGCCAGTTTCCTCCCCATGTGAGCAGGCAAGCCCCGACTGTAGTTTTCTTCCAATGATTTCTGAGAGTATGAAACAATTTGATCACCTTCGCCATATTTATGTTTTATTCCACACCTCTTCTTATCAGGAACCTGAAACAGAACATGGGAACATAAAAATTTAACATTTGCAAAGATAGAGAATGGCTTGTAATATTAAGTCACTCACTACATCCACTACTGTGGGAAGGTGGGAAATATTATAGACCAAGAGAAGTGCCTCCTGGGTTTAAGTTAGATCTTATTCATTTCCTGTTTGTTATCCAATGTTCTGCATTATCATAGAGCAATAAATTTGGTCTGTACATCCAGCACACTCCTTTATCCTTTAAATTCAAGAATAAACCTGATTTATCCACTCGTTTTAAAGCACTAGCATATAAAAGCCCATCCACTGCATTCACTCAACAACTATTCTACTAGCAGAAGAAAATGGAAATTTTAAATGCACACACACTTGCACAGCAAGTAGAAAAAATCTAACTCAGTCTGATCCTTTCTCTGCCAGTTTCTTCCCTAAGAAGGCAAATGACTGCACCTCCTGTTTAACATGGTAAAGCCTTTGTTTGTAATCTTGATTTGCTGCATGTATGGGCCTTTCATTTGCTGTCCACCTCTTTCTGATGTAGTGAATTGTATACCCTCCACCAGTGAATAGCCAAAGAAGTCAAATCCCAAATAAGCCAGAAAAAGGCTGTTAAGCTCTGGTGGCAATTTTATCAGAATAATTTACATCATAATTTTCCTCATTTTCCCCTCTTTGGGGGCTGAATTAGGTATGTGTATAATGAAAACAACAAAACGGTTCCGGTCCAGTTTACCTGTCTGAACATATCTCCTTCTATAAACCACCTCAGAGATTAAGATTGTCTGGGGAGGCCCTGCTCTCGGTCCCACCTCCTTCACAGGTGTGAACGAGACAGGGCCTTCTCAGTGGTGGCCCCTCAACTGTGGAACTCTCTCCTAAATGATATTAGAGCAGCTTCCTCCCTCCTGGCCTTCAGAAAGAAACTGAAAACCTGGCTATGGAGTCAAGCCTTTGAAGAATAACTACAGTGTAATAACAGCCATGGAATTATGTGCAATGACTTTTGGAACGGTCCCAGATTACAATTGTGAATGGCATGATTTTGAATAGTGATTGTAATATCCTTTTTAATGTGCACTTAATTTTAAATATTTAACTTAATGTATTTTAACTGTTTGATGTTCAAAGGCACTGAATAGTTGCCATATGTAAAGACAGCTTGAGTCTTAAGGTAGAGAAAGGCGGGATACAAAAAGAGTAAATAAATAAAAAGTTACAAAACTTGGATGTAGCTTTCTGCAAGTCTAAGTGTGAAAATATGTATGGTTTCACAGAGATTAATTTTCAGATTTACAAACATAGGTTGAATATCCCTTACATGGGATCAGATTTAGATTTTTCAAATCTTTGAATATTTGACATACATCACGGGATACTTTGGAGATGGACTCCTAGTCGAAAGACAAAACTCATTTAAGCCTCTTATTGCCAAAATATGTTTTAATAATTTTATGTATGAAACAAAGGAGTATACAATTAGCCACCAGAAAAAGTGTTGCTGTCTTAGCCACCCATGTGGACAATTTCGAAGCATTTCCAAAAAGAGAGACTCAACCTGTATACACTTATACAAACTCTAAACTGCCATTTTGTATCACCCATATTTTTGAAGCTCCATTGATGATATTCTTTGTTAAGAAACAGAAATGTTCAAACCAAGGCTGGAGAATGTTTGGTTCTCCAGGGGTACATCTAGACTAGGAATGGGTAAATTCTGGCCCTCCAGGTGTTTTGGATGCCAATTCCCACAATTCCTAACAGCTGGTAGTTAGGAATTGTGGGAATTGGAGTCCAAAACACTCAGAGGGATCTAGACTGTAGAATTAATGCATTGTCGAAGGCTTTCATGGTTGAAATCACTGGGTTGCTGTGTGTTTTACGGGTTGTATAGCCATGTTTCACCTGCATCTATGGCAGGCATCCTCAGAGGTTGTGAGGTCTGTTGAAAACTAGGAAAATGGGCTTTATATATCTGTGGAATGTCCAGGGTGGGAAAAAGAACTCTTGTCTGTTTGAGGTAGGTGTGAATGTTTCCACTCTAATAACTACCATGTACAACTACACTTAGAAGCCATTGAAATCCACAAGCATGTGGAGAATTTAAACAGAAAGGAAGAAACAATGAAAATGAACAAAATCTGGCTACCAGTTTTAAAAAACTCTGGATTCATAACAGTAAATAAATAACACTCAAAAACAGGGTAACTCCAGACAAGAAAGCCCTAAACGGTTCTGGCCCTACTTACCTCTCCGAACGCATCTCATTCTATGAACCGGCTAGGACACTAAGATCATCTGGGGAGGCCCTGCTCTCTGCCCCGCCTGCATCACAGGCGCGCTTGGCGGGGACGAGAGACAGGGCCTTCTCAGTGGTGGCCCCTCGGCTGTGGAATGCCCTGCCTGCAGATATCAGATCAGCCCCCTCCCTGCTGGCGTTTCGGAGGAAAGTGAAGACCTGGCTGTTCGAACAAGCATTTGATTAAACAGTGTAATTGAACATAGGAATACGGAATAATGGATGATGAGACTGGATTCTGATTTTACTGTTGAGGCGCTAATGATTGTTATACGGATGTTTAATTATTTATGTTACAATGGTTTTTAATTGCCCTATACTTGTCTCGTGATGTTTTGTATTGATGTTGTTCACTGATTTGAGTTGCCTGAGGGCTGAGAAAAGTGGTATATAAATAAAGTAAATAAATAAGAAACAACCAGGGCCAGCTAATCATCTCTCATCAAAAGATTCCCCTGGGCAGTAAGAAGCCAGACCTGCAAGGCCAATAAATGCTAATCAAAGTGGCCAATGGAAAGATTCACCCCTACCTCAAGCAGACAAGAGTTCTTTCTCCCATCCTGGACATATATGAACCCAATTTTCCTAGTTTCCAACAGACCTCACAACCTCTGAGGATGCCTGCCATAGATGCAGGCGAAACGTCTATACCCAATGCTCCTGGAACATGGCCATACAACTTGGAAAAAACACAGCAACCCTAAACTAATGCACTTTGACACCACTTTAACTATCATGGTTCAATGTTATGGAATCTGGGATTTGCAGTTGGGTCAGCTACCAGAGAAAGTTAAAGACCTTGACAAACTATAACTCCTAGGATTCTACAACAGAGAAATTATGGTCAGACTGCATCAAGTCTACAGTGTAGGTGCAACCTTAAGAGTCCTGCTCTCGTTCTCCCTGAGCTGTAAACTGTCATGAATGACTTTAGAAAGGCCACACTCTCTCAACCTAAAGCCTACCTCAAGATTGTTGCGGGGCTTTAAAGAAATGAAGGGAAAGAACCGTCCTCCCACTCCCCGGCTTCTTCTGAAGCCTTCCTCATCGCCCAGGAGAGGAAAGACCGGGTTCAAAAGGGTTCCCAAGGCCAGCCTCCCTCCCTCGCCTGGTTTCTCTGCTTCCTCGCCGCTGCCAAGCCTTTCCTCCCTTTGGCTTTTCCTCCCCTGCTTCCTGGCTCGCGCTCTTTTTCCCTCCCGCGGAAACAAAGAGCCGCCTCACTTTCGTTCCGCCCTGGCCTCCGCTCCATAGACATTGTTTAGCGTGCATGCAATTTGACACCACTCTAAACTGCCATAGCTGAGTGCTGTGGAATCCTGGGATATAAGATCTTTCGCTTTCTCTGATCATGAAGAGTGCACCAAACTACAAATCCCAGGGTTCCATACCATTAAACCATGGCAGTTTAAAGTGCTAAAAGGCAAAAGGTCCCTAAAACCAAAAGTAAACCAGCTATATAGTTGCAATAATGTTTAAAGTGCTGTCAATCTGCATTAATTCTACAGTGTAGATGGGCAAACTTCAGCCCTGTTTTGGATTACAACTCCCACAATTCCTAACAGCCAATTGGTATTTTTGTTGAACATCGGGAAAACCAAAGTGCTCTTCCAGCCATCACTGGCCAATCCCTCTCCAATGCCAGAGATACAGCTTAATGGTGTAACATTAGAAAATGCTGATCATTTCCGCTACTTTGGTAGCCACCTCTCCAAAAAAGTCACCATTGACACTGAAATACAACACCGCCTGAGCTCTGCGAGTGCAGCATTTTTCCGAATGAAGTGTTTGAGGACCAGGATATCCATAGGGATTTTTTTTTTGTCGTGTCAGAAGCGACTTGAGAAACTGCAAGTTGCTTCTAGTGTGAGAGAATTGGCCATCTGCAAGGACATTGCCCAGGGGACTCCCGGATGATTTTTGATGTTTTTATCATCCTTGTGAGAGGCTTCTCTCATGTCCCCGTATGAGGAGTTGGAGCCGATAGAGGGAGCTCATCCGCCTCTCCCCAGATTTGAACCTGCAACCTGTTGGTCTTCAGTCCTGTCGGCACAAGGGTTTAACCCACTGTGCCACCGGGGGGCTTCTATCCATAGGGATACCATGGTGCTTGTCTATAAAGCTATTGTCCTCCCAACCCTGCTATATGCCTGCGAAATGTGGACCGTCTACAGATGTCACATGCAACTCCTGGAATGATCCCATCAGTATTGCCTCCGAAAAATCCTGCAAATCTCTTGGGAAGACAAGCAGACAAATGTCAGCGTGCTGGAAGAAGCAAAGACCACCAGCATTGAAGTGATGGTCCTCCGCCATCAATTCCACTGGACTGGCCACATTGTCCGGATGCCTGACCACTGTCTCCCAAAGCAGTTGCTCTACTCCGAACTCAAGAATGGAAAACGGAATGTTGGTGGACAGCAAAAGAGATTTAAAGACGGGCTCAAAGCCAACCTTAAAAACTCTGGCATAGACACTGAGAACTGGGAAGCCCTGGCCCTTGAGCGCTCGAGCTGGAGGTCAGCTGTGACCAGCAGTGCTGCAGAATTTGAAGAGGCACGAATGGAGGGTGAAAGTCCGCCGACCCCCTCCAGTATATTCAGTTGCTGATCAATTCCACTGTTGCCATGCACCATAGAAAAGAGTACGAAATGGAAGAGGCAGTGGGCAGGGTCATGCAAATTCCACACCAATGGAGAGAGTAAGAAACACTGGGGTGTCTGTGGTGGAGGAGACACATAAAATCTAGGATGAAATTGCCCCCGTATGAAAGCCTTTACTTGGGTGGTGGGCAGTATGGTGTTGGTGGAGGACATTGGCAGGGCTCTTGTGCCGTCATGCGTGGGGGCTATAACTCTTAGTGAAAGAGGCATGGACGTGACATCTTTCCCCTAGGGGATTGCTTCTTGCCCTCCTTTAGGAAAACTGGAACTCCCAAAGACCAAAACACTGTAGATAACCCAAAATAGGTTTAATTGTTCACAAAGAGCTATCCCTTTCAGGCAATAAGCTGGAAGTTGCAAAGGGGTAAAGGAAAATATACATTACAGTCTCTGGTTGTCTTGGGTCCAAGGAGTTTTGCAGCTGAGAAGCTTTTCCAAGTCCCTCTTTCTCAATGGCTGTGAATATTGGAATAATCACAACCCTAATTCCAATGTCTTATATTTTGAAGGCACAAAGGCTTCCTCTGGTGCCAAAGTACTGGTTTGAAGGCACTTGAGACTTCTCAACATCGTCCAGGTTGATCTGAACATGAAGCATAAGTCTAAGGGTAAGAACCTTAGAATTGGTGCTGAGAGGTAACTTAATCAAGGGCTTTAGAGCCAAATCTCTCTGTCACATCCATCTGATAGAAAGTTTGATGGTGGAATGGAAAAGGAACCACTGTCATGCTCTCTAGGAAGAGGTGGGGTCAAACAATTGCGCAGGAGGAGCAATTCAGCTGGTGCAAACAACACTGATTGACAGCTATAAATAACCAATCAATCCAACTACACATTTACAGGGTAAAAAGGCAAAATCAGGCATGATACAACAGTTCAAATCCTGCAACTTACAGTTTTACATATAGGTGGCGCCACTCTCCCCATCACACTTGTACATATTCACGGCGCTTGCTATAACCTGCAATGTCACTGGGGGGAGGACCTTTGGTGGCTCTTCGTAGGTGGGGATCATAGCTGTTTGTGAAAGTGGGCACTCCAGCCATACACACAGTTTTTCCGCTTTTATTATGGATATGGAGGATAGATATAGATTTTTTTAAAGGAATTATTTTTATAGAAATAGTGTTAAAGTTGCCAGATTCAAAACTCCTATATTTTTAATGGTCCTGTAAAAGAAGGATTTCACCAGGTGTTGCTTGGTAACAACCAATTAAAAAACAACACCTGATGAAATTCATGCTTCTGTGTGTATGGATATAACTCAAATTTGCCTGTTGGATTTCACAAGGTTTTCTTAGACAAGGAATGCTTAGAGATGCCTTGCCATTTCCTTCCTCTGAAATAATTCCCACATCACCTGATATTCATTGATAGTCTCTCATCAAAGTAATAACCAGGGCCAACCCTGCTTAGTTTCCATGATTTGATGGAATCTGGTGCCTACACCAGAAGCACAGAAGCTATTTCAATTTTTCCTTTTGGGAATCCTAGCCTTGGTAGCTGGAGTAGCTGAAAGCTTCTTACTATCATCTACATTTTTGCTGTTGCTCATTTATATATCACTTATCTCTTTAGTAGGTGATTTACCTCCCAGCCTTTTTTATTTGGAGATACATGTAGTAATTAGTGACATATGTTATTCGAACAATAACAATTAGTTGTCGAAGGCTTTCATGGCCGGAATCACTGGGTTGTTGTAGGTTTTTCCGGGCTATATGTCCATGTTCTGGAGGCAATTGGCCAAAACATGGCCAAAAATTGCCTCCAGAACATGGCCATATAGCCCAGAAAAACCTACAACAACCCAATAACAATTAGACCCATTTCGAACCGGCTTCAGAGCAGGATACAGAATTGAGACTGCAATGGCTGCCTTAGTGGATAATCTCCGTCTCAACATCAATATGGGGAATGTGTCCCTGTTGGTGCTTCTAGATCTCTCAATGGTATTCGATACCATTGACCATGGTATCCTTCTGGAATGCCTGGAAGGGCTGGGAATCGGAGGAACTTTGCTGCAGTGGTTCCGGTCATATCTCTCAGGCAGGTTTCAGATGGTGGCGCTTGGGGATGGAACTGTTATGTGGCATCCCACAAGGTGCTATTCTATACCCAGTGCTCTTTAATATTCGCATGAAGCTGCTGGGAGAGATCATCTGTAGGCATGGATAGTGTGTCTCCTATGAATGAACGTCTGGAAGAGGTAATGGACTGGATGAGGAAAATAAAACTGAAACTGAATATAGACAAAACAGAGGTGCTTGCCATCAAGGATCCTAATCTGGGGATGGAGATGTGTCAACCAGTCCTGGATGGGGTTACACCCCCCCTGAAAGATTGCATTTGCAACTTGGGAGTGCTCCTGGATCCATCTTTCCAAGTGTCAACCCAGGTAGATGCAATGGTCAGGAGTGCTTACTATCATCTTTGGCTGATACACCAACTGCGCCCCTTCCTAGATTTGGAGGACCTGAAGATGGTAGTGCACGCACTGGTAACCTCAAGACTGGACTTCTGCAATGTGCACTACATTGGGATACCTTTATACCAAGTCCGGGAACTCCAGCTGGTTCAAAATATGGCAGCCAGATTGGTTATGGGAATATTCAAGAGTGAGCATATCACACCTATCCTAAAGTCACTCCTCTGGTTGCCAATTAGTTTCTGGGCAAAGTACAAGGTGCTGGTTTTGTCCTTTAAAGCCCTACATGGCTTGGGTCCAGGTTACCTAAAGGATCGCCTTCTCCCATACAATCTGCCCCAAAGGTCCTCTGGGGGGCATCTGCTCCAGCCTCCCAGAACCTAACCATCACCCAGAGGACCTTTGCATTGGCTGCCCCAAGACTGTGGCATGAACTGCAGGAAGCACTCTAACAGTTAGATCAGATGTCAGAATGTAAAAATAATCTAAAAACCTATATCTTCCAGCAGGCTTACAAAGCCAGTTGAAAGCAAGAATTTTAAACCCATGTTCTGTATTTTGGTGTCCTGTGTGATTACGGTAATGTGTATTTCATAGAAATGCTTTGACATGTATCTTTTATGGAACTGCATTTTAATATATGTGTTGTAGAATTGTTAAATAATATTTGTGTGTTTTTGACTGTACTGTGACTTGCCCAACCATGAGGACAGGTGGGTAAAATATTATTATTATTATTATTATTATTATTATTATTATTATTATTATAATATGTTTATATGTATGACAACTAAAACTGCTTGTCCCTATTTTCCCAAGATAACATGTTTTTATTATTAAAAGTGTATTATTTTGTATTAACAAATAATAATACCCATACACCAATTTCAATGTTCAATATTTAATACCAATAATAATATTTGCACTAAAACATGACTATCAATGAAGAGTCTATTGATTTTTAATAATACTTCCCAAAGTAATCCATGTGCCAGTTTTTCAGGTTTTTTTAAAAAAAAATAAACTTAGGAAATCATGTTTGAGCTTAGCTAATTATAGTTTTACATATATTTTTT